TTCATATTTAGTTATCACCACACCATCCTTCATATTTAGTCACTCATCACCACCATATTCCCACCTCCTTCCCACATCCTTCATATTAAGTCACCCATCACCACACCATCCTTCATATTTAGTCGCCCATCACCACCACATTCCCACCTCCTTCCCCCACCCTTCATATTTAGTCACCCATCACCACACCATCCTTCATATTTAGTCACCCATCACCACCACATTACCACCTCCTTCCCCCATCCTTCATATTTAGTCACCCATCACCACCACATTACCACCTCCTTCCCCCATCCTTCATATTTAGTCTCCTGTAAATATCTTTCTTTTGCTACCTGAAAAGGAGGGTTCTTCGTATTCGCAGCTCGTTAGACAAAAACAACAATTCTTATCTAAAATCATATTGTTAAATATGTTTTTGAAACAAGGACCCAAGGAACTAATCCAGATTAGAATGAAGAGCCCCCGTGGTTGCGTTTCGGAGAAAAATCCGGGCAATAACCAAGAGTTTGGCAATTGGGATTCGATATAAGAGTAGGCCGTAGCGCTGCTGTCCGGGCGAAATTTCCCTCATAGCACACTGTATGGCGTATGCCCGTCTTCATTAGCCCAGTGGGATCAGAACGGTATAGGACGCTAAACCCGATTTCATTTTACTTCATTTAGCAACTAAAACAGTTGATAGGTCAATCCATGCTGTTGTTTATTACAAATTTAACGTACATTACATTCTACATGATATTAATTGATTCCATTAAGTTATTTACATATTGTCCCTCCATTTGTTCTGGCCTCTTCATCTCTAAAACGGTTCATTGTAATTCTTGCAGGTGGGGAGGCACTAATTGGTGTAATAGCTCTTATTTCCGTTAAACTGCTACATCAACACTAATTAATCGTAGATAATGCGTACTTACTACAGATTATCTCCGACACAACAGCTGAGGGGTTGGTTATTCTCAGGACGCCGGCATTGTTTGTAACAAGTCGTTATCAAGCATATATACACAAATAGATAAATGCTTGATAACGAATTGTAAAATCTTATTGAAACGTCGCAGTGTAATAAACCATAGAAATTGTTTTTGATAATAGTGTGTTATTTGATTATATAATCATAATGTGGTGACACAATCGGCCCATATGATATGACACTAAATAAATGAAAAATGAACTGAAATGGGGTTTAATATCCTACTGTTCTGCTCCGAATGGACTAATGAAGACGGGTATACGCCATACAGTGTGCTATGAGGGAAATTTTGGCCTACTCTTATATCGAATTCCAACTGCCAAGGGATCATTTACGTGCACGCCAATGTATACACGGGACCTTGGTTTTTTCGTCCCATCCGAACGACTAGACAGCTGTCCGCTGTCCTTGTCAGGCCCTCCGTTCTGCACTACTGACAAGGGGAAACCACGTCGGAAAATTCAGATGAACTTTCTCGGCCAATGCAGGGATCGAACACCCGACCTCCAGGCTAGCGAGCCAGCGTCTTAACCACCTAGCCACCGTGGCTCCCTAAGATTTAGATATAGAGCAGGTCGTATAGAGCAGGTCGTATAGAGCAGGTCGTTCTCGCTATAATAGTTTACGAATAGATAATGTAAAGGGAATATATCAAAAATATAAGTTCATTTACTTCATTCTGAACGAAGTAATGACTGAAGAATAGTGTAGTCTCGAGTGATGCAGAACGGAAGGCCTGACAAGGACAGCTGTCTAGTCCTTCGGATGAGACGAAAAATTGAGGTCCCGTGTATGTATTGGAATGCACGTAAAAGATCCCCTGGCAGTTGGAATTCGATATAAGAGTAGGCGATAGTGCCGCGGCCCGGGCAAAATTTCCCTCATAGCACACTGTATGGCGTATGCCCGTCTTCATTAGCCCAGCATAGGAGCAGAACAGTAGGACGTTAAACCCCATTTCATTTGTGTAGTCTCGATTTTTATTTTGAAACCGTTATTACGATAATAATTAAAGTGTCGGTTATCCATTTTTAAATCAAATTATTAAATGGGGATCGAATTTCAATCCGTTAAAAATCACAACCATCCGATGATCTAGATATTTGATTATAGTCTCGTCATATTTAATGAATGATTAAGAATATAACACTTTGGGCCAATAGGCAGACTTGCCTCTTAAACATTCATTATTCAAGAGCTAAATCTCCCTATTGACGGCCATTCTTTAACCTAAAATGTTATCTACATTATTGGGGGGTTGGATGGCTGAATGATTAGCGTGCGCGCGCTGTATCATAAAGTCTGTCATTGAGTCGACTGGCGTGGTTTCGAATCCCCGGTTGTACGTGGCAAGGAGTAGGGTCGCCTGTCCAACCTCGTGGGTTTTCTCCGGGTCCTCCGGTTTCCTCCCACTGCTAAAGACCCCTACGCGCAAGCGAATTATGTAAATAAAATTAAACCATATGTTAGTCCCGAAATGACCTAGTTTGTGTCGAGTGGACGTTAAACCCATTTCTCTCTCTCTCTATCTACATTATTAATTAAACATTAATTAACTTATCCAGGCCATAATCAATTCTCGATGCCATCGTTAGTCTGCGATATTTAGTAGATTTGATTACATTTTGTGATGGATAATTTAACGTAAAAATAGATATTAGAAACTTGGTTTATTATCGCACCAAAGTTAGTTATGCCGTTCAAGGCTAGTTTAATACTTAATCGTTAATATCTCGGTTGTGAGTGAAGCAAGTTGACTGAAATTTTCAGCATATTCTGTTTTCATTATCTATGTTTAATTAGGAGATAAACACGTCCTGTTACGTATTTAGAGGGGGTTTATTGTCCATTTAACCATGCTAGAATTATTAGAACACGAGACGCGATAGCGGGTTTATCTATATTGTAGCTCAAATATTTAAGGATTTTCTTCGGAACAAATTAGAAAACACTTTTACACCCATTTTAAAAAGTCTTTATTTGTCCACGTGCTGGGGCCTGTTTCACGAAATTTTAATGAAGATAAAATCCAAATTTTGGATCCTATAAGATTGATTTTAGTGCTTAGCCAATCAAAATTGAAGTATTTACTAAAATTTGGATTTTATCTTTAGTTAAGATTTCGAGAAACAGGGCTCTGTTGTTTATTTTATAAAACATATTCTCAATAGATTTATGCCGTCCTCGCTTTCCTGCAAATTTAAAATGCTTGAGTCTCAAATCACTGGTATATGAATTATGGAAGAAATGTTATTGGAATATCGGCAAAAAGGTATTTTCTAACGTTTGAAGATTTTTAACAGAATAGGAAAATAGTCTTATTGTGGTATTTTGGGTCGGCCGCGGTGCGAGCGCGATTGAAATATTTCCAACTTGCTAATCAAGACTAAAGAGGGGTAATTCTTGGCAACAAAGATGACTTCACTTCGAAGATTTCGTGTAACATTGGCTGATTTTTTAGCTTTTATAGTTTATTACATTATTTGCAGATCGTAATCAAAATTCTATAGTTAGTTCTTGTTCAGACAATTGCAGTTCGTGGTTACATGATCAAAAATACCATATTAAACAATGTGATATCTAGGGTTCAATCGGTTGCTATGTATAGGCCTACCGTTCTGACGTTTTGTTTGTCAATTTTGGCATAGAATTCCTGTTTATTAGGCCTAGTTCAGCTACTATTTTCGACTAGCTCATTATATTTTCTTGCGACTAATGACTTATTATTAGGTAGACTTTAAAAGCATGATTTTAAAAAAATTCCACCTGATTAAGTGGAAATTGGCGAATGAAGCTAGCCTACCAAAAAGGAAAACAAATTTGTCAATAATGTCACTGCCTAGTTACGAATATATTTGGATACCTGAAAACGGTTTTTATTAATTTATGACTAATTTTCTACTGTTTTATGTATTTCAGAAATGTTATTTCATAAAAGATGATGTTTGAAAATGAGATGGTATGATAGTCATGTGTGCAGAATTTCTTTAAGATATCTGCTAATAAAGATTTGGGTTGAGGAAGATCATTGAGCACAAAATTGAAAAAAAAGTATACTGTGATATTAATACGCAGTAATTCGCCTTGATAATTTAGAGGGGGTTTATTGTCCATTCGACCACACTTTTCGACCAATCAGAATCAAGGAAATTTCTAATTTGTGCCACAATCTATTATAGCAAGAACTGTCAGCTCTTTATATATTCTTACCTAATCCCCCTTTCACTGTATTATCTTTATATAATCTTACCTACTCCCCCTTTAACTGTATTATCTTTCTGTCTTGAGATCATGAGAGTGAGGGCGAGAGACCAGGGCCGTAACTAGCTCAGAGCAATGGGGGGGGGGCGGGAAGTGTTCTCTGGGGTGCTGTAAAATAGACCCCCCCCCCCCATCCCCTTAATTACGGGCCTGCGAGAGACACGAGGGGGAGTGTGAGCGATAGATGTAGAGAGAGAATGGCAGTGGCGCACCCGGTCGGGGTGGAGGGGTAGGTTTGGTCCATGAGCAATCTAGACCATGGTCCCATTTATTCTTTGCCTCGATAGGTGTGCCGTTCTCGGCACGATACCAGGCTGCTCTAAAATAACCGGTCTCGGAGCTGTGTCAGACACGTCAAATGTGGAACTCTTCACAGAAAAGTTAATTTCAGTCCCTATGCAAATTATCCTGATGAAAACAATTATGGCGGTTGATTTAGTTTGGACAGTTAAGGTTCATTTGGCGCATGCGCAGTAATCCGCACTGGGAACCGTTCTCAGACCGATGGGATAATGGTCCTGATTAGGCACGAAAATATTTGTGCCTGACACCGTGCTGAGGTTACCTCACTTCAGTGGGTCAAATGGGCACGCTTATGTTTCATCCGTTTACACTACAAAAAAATTAACCATTCCTGGCACACTTAAAGTGTGTAATGAAAACGGAGTTATTGACAGGCCACTCGTCCCCCCCCCCTGCCCCCCGAGATAACCTTGAACAAGGGCGCAAAATACTTCGGCTCCGGAATGTACACAAAGAACGAAACTTTTAAATGTTGGCTTTAAAAAGCTTTAATTGTATCCTGCATTAATACAATAAATATTATTACTATTACAAATAGCAGATATAAATCTTTTGTGTTTAACAAATACATTATATTTTTACCGCTTTATATTAAAGTCATGTATTATATCTAAAGCGCATAAAAGGTGGTTTGCCAGGCAAAGCAATTAACGCTGATACAGCTATGCTATCTGGGTTGTCCCATTTTTATTCTTTTCTAGTTCATGAGCTTATTTACAAGACACCAAAACAACCGGTGAAGTAGTTATCAGAAATAAATGACATTTGATAGGCTTCTAATCGGTAATGATAAAGTTTTAGTTTGTTTGAGTTATCGAAAATCGAAACAGGTTGACAAACATACAGTGTTAGAATAAAATCTAAATAATTTATTTAAACAGTTTATGTCCCGAATATATTATAAAATATATTTTATACTTATAGGATATAAAACAAAATAATAGCGTCTCGTGAAACCGTGAAGCGCGGCGCCACCTGGGCTGGTTACCCCCCTTGATCAGTAGCGAGAACGCTCATTGGCTCACTAAATCACAACGGACACGCCCCCGTTTCTAATAATATGACCTGGTCGCCATCTTGTATGAAATAGTCACTGATGGGCTTATTTGAATCCATGGCAAATCGGAAAATAGGACCCAATCTTTCCCTATAGATGTGGTCAACTTCAACACCAAATGACTTCAATTTTAGAACATCTTCAAGTTCTTGTATTGATATTGTTCTCTTCACGTTCACATGGCAACCTTCTCCACCAGGCCCAGGCCTAAAATATAATAAACATAACAATGGTTATTAAACTGTTATATAAATATCACGTTTACTCTCCGACCAAACTTTTAATGTTTTATAAATATCACGTTTACTCTCCGACCAAACTTTTAATGTTTTATAAATATCACGTTTACTCTCCGACCAAACGTTTAATCGAAATTTGAAACCAAACCCAGCCTCCATCTAATACATTCAACCTATGTGTCTATGTACGTTTTTTATACAAAATGACAGAGAAATAAAGAATCTTTTTAAAATATTTACCATATTTTATTCGACAGAAGAATTAAATCAAGTTTATCACTGTCCCCTTGTTTCATGAAATGTCTATCACGCTCATCATATTTCGCCCCATACGCCATTTCATGATCTGTGTCATTCTTTTCATAATCCACGTCATCATCATCATCATCACATTCCATGTCTTGATTCTGTTCCTTCCTATACGTGCCCGCACCCCAGCGATTATTGTATACTCCTTTCCGGTCACTATTTGTGAAAGCATCTCCAAATATATGAAGCTTAATCTTGTCGCATCCCTGCCTCTTCTTCATGGATTCTTCTCGTTTTAGCTCAGCCATATCTTGTCTTGCTTTCGTAAATTCATCTGTCCCCTTCCATGCGTTTCTATTTTTCTGGCTGAAACCAGAAGCTGGTGTGTTACTTGTAGACGACAATATCATCGTGTTTTGATTTCCAATTTGTATATTAGAGCACCTGCCAAAATTGTTGATGCTGGTGAAATAGGTATGCATAAAATCATTATCATCGAAACTATTATTAGTCATCGTGAATGTGTTAACATCTTTGTTTCCCTGGTCGTATTTGCAGTCATCTTCGTTTGCCCGGTCGTGCCTATAATCATCTTCGTTTACCACGCTGTATTTTCCCTCCAGATTTATGTTCTTCTTCTCACCTTCTCTGTTCCTCTCATCGTCGTTTGCTACATCTGATACCACAGATCCCAATGCGCTTTGTTTGTCCTCCTGGTTCTCTTTAATCGCACCCACATTGTCCTGATCTGTGTCCACACTGTCCCGGTCTGTATCCACAGTGTCCTGGTCTGTATCCAGACTACCCCGGTCTGTGTCCACGGTGTCTCGACCTGTGTCCATACTATCCCGGTCTGTGTCTCGACCCGTGTCCACACTGTCCCGGTCTATGTCCACTTCTTCCCGGTCCACATTTTCCATTTCGGTATTCATGTTCTCGCCATCCTCATTCATACCTTTCTCGTCAGTATTCCGGATATCCCGATTTATATTCGTGGCGCTATCGTCTTCCTTGTTCTTATCGCGCATGTCTTCCCCGTGACTATCAGTGTACGTTTCCTTTCCTCGGTGTCTATTCATCATCATCATCATCATCATATACTCGAAATCTCGTCTTTTCTGTCTGTCTTCCATTCGTTTCTTCGAGTCTGTGTCCACAGTGTCCCGGTCTGTTTCCACAGGTCTTCCATCGTCATTCCCAGGGCCCAGATAGGTGTCCACATTTTTCATTCCTCTGCGTTCATCCATCATACGAAGATAATCAAATCTTGACATATCCACATCTCTCAACGGGTGACTTCCTCGCATAACCTCTTCTCGCCGTCTTTTTTCTATTCGTTTCTTCGCGTCTGTGGCCCGGTCCTTTTCCACGGGTCCTCCATCGTTATGCACAGGGTCCCGATCGGTGTCTACATTTTTCATTCCTCTACGTTCTTCCATCATACGCAGCCAATCAATTCTTGACATATCCAAATCTCTCAACGGGTGATTTTCTCGCTCAACCTCGCCTCGTATTTTCTGTCTGTCTTCCATTCGTTTCTTCGAGTCTGTGTCCACAGTGTCCCGGTCTGTTTCCACAGGTCTTCCATCGTCATTCCCAGGGCCCAGATAGGTGTCCACATTTTTCATTCCTCTGCGTTCATCCATCATACGAAGATAATCAAATCTTGACATATCCACATCTCTCAACGGGTGACTTCCTCGCATAACCTCTTCTCGCCGTCTTTTTTCTATTCGTTTCTTCGCGTCTGTGGCCCGGTCCTTTTCCACGGGTCCTCCATCGTTATGCACAGGGTCCCGATCGGTGTCTACATTTTTCATTCCTCTACGTTCTTCCATCATACGCAGCCAATCAATTCTTGACATATCCAAATCTCTCAACGAGTGACTTTCTCGCTCAACCTCGCCTCGTATTTTCTGTCTGTCTTCCCTACGTTTCTTCGCGTCTGTATCCTCAATAGTCTCCTGGTCTGCATCCACAGGGTCCCCAACGGTGTCCACATTTTCAGTTCCTCTGCGTCCATTCATCATCATATGCATCCAATGAATTCTTGACATACCGAAATCTTTAAACCGGTGATCTTCCCTCATAAGCTCTTCTCGTCTTTTCTGTTTTTCTTCAAGGCGTTTCTTCGCCGCCGCTTCTTCTTTTCTCTTCCGCGAGTTTTCTTCCAATCTTTGCATGCGTTCTTCGTATGTCTCCCTAGGCGCTGAAGGTGGTGGTGGTGTTGGTGGACTGGTACTGCATTCTCCGCTAGAGTTTATATACATGGTCTTATTATTACCAATTTGAATGTTGCGTGCCATTCCAGGGTGAATATGGACATAATATTGACTGTTCATCTTATGGCTATTCTGAAAAATAAGTTAACAAAAATAAAGGCATTAACCAAGTTGGTCAGCTTTAACCACGTATTAGTTTGTACATGTATTTGTTCTCCTTATATTTTATCATGACTTGATAAAGACCAAAGAAGCTTAGTTGAAATGAAATGAATTGAAATGGGGTTTAACGTTCTATTGATTTAATCCGAACTGGGCTAATGAAGACGGGCATACGCCATACAGTGTGCCATGAGGGAAAATTTGTCCGGACTACGGCCTACTCTTATATGGAATTCCAGCTGTCAAGGGATGTTTTACGTGCACGCCAATGTGTACACGGGACCTCGGTTTTTCGTCTCATTAGAATGACTAGACAGCTGTCCTTGTCAGGCCCTCCACCCTGCATCACTGACAAGGGAGAACCACGCCGGAATATCTGAATGAACTTTCTCGGCCAATGCAGGGATCAAACACCTGACCTCCAGGCTAGCCAGCCAGCGTCTTACCCACTTAACCACCGTGGCTCCTAGGAATTCGAAATAAGAGTGGTCAGTAGCCCCATAACTCGGACAAATTTCCCCTCATTGCACAATGTATGGCGTATGCCCGTCTTCATTAGCCCAGTATAGGAGCAGAACAGTAGGATGTTGACGCAAGAATTTCAAATTTTCTAAGAAAGTCAAAACATAATTTGTTCTATGTCTTTTGCTCAATAGGTTATCAAATCACTATTATACGATATGGGCATTATTTCCCACCCTTAAAAATCTATGAAACAGGAAATAACAACACAATTACCTCCCCTGTTTTGCTACTGACAACATGGGGCAGCCATTTTCCAACGTTGGAATTTGAAGTTAAAAATGATATTTTTGCCAATTTCTCAGCTGGCAATAGCGAATTATAGGATTAATAGGATTATTCTTTAACAAGGTAGGACTGTTTATGGATACCATCTATTTTAAGGCTTTATTTTAATACATTTTAAAAATATAACTTGAAAATTTGCAATTGTAACTTTAAATCCCATTTCATTTTATTTCTGAAATCAATAGCCCTCTAATATGATATCACGCCATCAGGAGTAGACCTTTGAGATTTGTAAAGTAGAATGGCAGTGGGGGTGGCAGATTGGTTTAATGCGTGCGCATTAGATCATTCGTTCTGTCTGTCATTGAGTCAGGTGGCGTGGTTTCGATTCCTCGCTTGTAGGCTTATGTGACAAAGAGTAGGGCCACCTTTCCGGTGTCCTCTGGTTTTCTCCTCCCACAGCTAAAGACCCATACCCTCAACGGAATTATTGAAATATAATTGAACCATATGTTGATCCCCGAAATTACCTAATTTGTGTCCAGTGGGCGTTAACTCCCCCCCCCCTCTCTCTCTCTCTATCTCTCTCTCTCTCTCTCTCTCTCTCTCCAATGGGCGTTAATAAAAACCTCAAACCCCAGACTAGGGGCTAAATCTATTTGTTAAGGCCAGCTCAATTTGTCAAGGTTAGGGCACATGATAGTTGGCGAGGTTGTAGGTTGGGGTTAGAATAAGCATTGGGGCTAGGTCCAGGATTAGGGTTAGGGTCGGTATTAGTGCTAGCCCTGTTTACATATCGTGACCCATCACGAAAAATTGAGCTGGCCTTATCATTTAGCACTAACCAAACACTAGGTCCCTAGCCCCACCCCGACACACTGCCCCCTTTGAACGACAACGCTGAGGAGGGGTAGTTCTTATACCTCTTGCCTACACGTACATATGAGCAATGTCCGTCTCTGTACTACAATAACTTTACTTAAAACAGGTTGTGGGGACGATGGGGGGAGGGGGGTGCAACTATCCACACCCACCCACCCTTTTGTCTTCGTAAGATTGGCAGACATAATTTAGCCCTAGCCAACACAATGAAAATATATCCCACCCTCCCATGATTAAGAGATATTAATAGTTGTAAACTTACCATAACAAAACTGATTTGCCTAGTTATAAGAAATATTGTATTAACGATCCTCACAGTGCTATGTTTTAATGGAAAATGGGAGATCGCGCACCACTCTTGTTAATTATAGTAAAATGACATCATCAAAAGTTACTTTTATAAAATCTTAAGTTGGAAAAACCCGAACCTATATATATTTAAGCAATTTGCATAACGGGGAAGCCCGATTGGCTATTTATAGATACATACGCAACAACAGCGTCCGCGCAGTCATATTGTAGTTTAATACACCAAACTGACCGGCAGTAAATAAATATACGCTTGGCAGCCATCATCACTAGCAGGGATGACACCGGGGCCAGTTAATTAGCCCTCATTAGTCAGTACAACCGGTACAATTTAATCGCAAGTAACATATTGTCTAGGTTATCCAGTCACTTTTTACTGTTCGATACGCACAATGATATGTGCATTTTTGTTCTAGACTATTCGCTTGCGTAAGCACAGTAATAATAGATATAAATAGATATTGTGTCATACTATTGGTTTTTTTCTTTCACAAGTAATAGCAAAAATCGAGTTACAATATTTTCATCGCCAGGACTTCAGATATTTTCAAACTTACAAAAATATATTTCTTTTCACAACGTAATTTATATAATAATTATTGTTTATACAATATTTCATCGCCAAGACTTCAGTAACTCGATTTTTACTATTACTTGTGAAAGAAATATATATATATTGGCTATAGTTACCATTGTCTATAGTTACATAGTATAGGTAACGAGTAGAAAACATGTACATACACGTGCGTTAATTTGTTGTATATGGGTACAATACAATTTAGAAACAATGAATGGAAGATAATAAAGTGATAGATTAAGAAAATTAATTAATGAAATTAATGGTCAATTGTTGCTTATTGACTATTAAGTCGAGGAACGCATTTTTTAATAAAATAGTTGTCCATTAATTTTCTTTTCGCCATGTCATCGACTTTCATTTTATAAAAAGGGAAAATTTGAAATTTAACTTGTAGGTGTTTCGCACATTTAAAGATGTGTCTATTTACAAATAAGGGCCCATAATATTCAATATACAATCCCGTCGATGGTTGCGTACTCTATCCCGTAGATGTGTGCCCGTCTCGCCGATGTAGAAATTTTGACAACCCTTGCAAGTCAAGACATATATGAGATTGTTTGTGTCCAGGGGTGGATTGGGCCATCGGGCGATCGGACCATCGCCCGAAGGGCCGGTCGGACAAAAAATGAAAAAAATAATTTTGTCCAATTCGTCTAAAAAAAAACTTTTTCTGCTGAACATTATATGAGGGGGGGGGGGTATTGGACCGGCCATGGAGCGATGATGATCATGTTGTATGTGGCCGGTGGCTTTAATGGGCCGCCACGCCATCACTGGAGTCTGGAATGGGCTGGTATAATAGACTTTCTGGGCAGGGTGGGATTCAACCGACACTGTCGCCCGCAAATTTACTAATTATTAAGTCATCTGCACCCTGTTTGTGGGGATACGTCAGAAACGTCTGCCGATGGTTCGTAACTCCCCAAAAAATTCAATTTTAAGGCCTCAGCAAAATTTGATGATAGCTGGTCTGCTGGCTGAATATGAGTGCGAGGCGATTTCCTGAGGCTGGTGTTAAACATTCCTTGACATTTTTATTAACTCGTTATTTTCAGAGATGAAATTACAGAATTGTGATGTCGGGAATGGTCTCAAATTGCGGGAAATGGCCTCCCATTATAATCAGATATGCCTCCAAATCGCATATTTGGGGTTCATTTTTCAAAATTTTCCCGGGGATCTCCCCCTCCGGGCTCCGTGGGCGGTAAAAGGGGCCGCTCCGACACGGAAGCCCGGGCCGGTTCCCGGCCCCAATCCGCCCCTGTTTGTGTCACAATTCATATTGTCGTTGACGCTAAAAGTAAAGTTGTGAAAATTATATCTGTTATTTGGCGTTATATGGTCGCAACATTTACATGGAAGATCCGAGCATTTAGATACATAAAATACATATCATATCAATATGGCCTGAGGAGGTTCAGGAGAACTGCAAACGTTAGTCATAAACATGTGTTTATTTCATTTCTCAACGTTATATATATACAAATGTAAAGAAATAAACACTCAGGGGCCTTTTTCTCGAAATTTTAACTAAGATAAAATCCAGATTTTAGTAATTTGATTGGATAATATTAGATTGATTTTAGTGCTTAGCCAATCAAAATTGAAGCATCTTTAGTTAAGATTTCGAAAAACAGGGCCCTGGTCATATTGATATGATATGTGTTTATTTCTTTTTTCAACGTAATTTTCTATATATATTTCTCTGGGAGTATTTCAAAGCAACTTAATATGCTATAGTGGGGGGAATTTTGCCAGGACAGTGGCGGTTTCGCGAAATACAGAACATGCTATTTTTGATGTGCTCAAGAAATAATAATTTCCCGATACACCCAGGGATGGTAGGTTCGAAGGCCCCAGAGAATATGTATGTTCTCATCTAGCTTAGGGTCCCTTTTTATTGTTTGGGGGTGGGTGGAGTATTAGTTTTGAGGTATTTTATGTTAGTTTGGGGACCCTTTGTATCAGTTAGGAGGGGGGGGGGGATTTTTATCAATTATATTAGGGGTTTTTTTTAGGTTGGGTTTTTTTTTGGGGGGGGGGGGGAATCTTTTTGTTCTAGAATAAGATAAGTTGGTAAATCTGTGTATAAACTAGAAAAATCTCGATCTAATCTAGAAAACTTTTTAAACAGCCAGTTCTTCTCGCGTTATATTTACATGTTTATCGTATCTAGAAGCTGTGAATAGGGGGCGGGGTGGGGAGCGGGCGGGGCGCGGTCCGGGCGCGGGGCGCGGTCCGGGCGCGGGGCGCGGCGGGGCGGGGCGGTAGCATGTGGTTCAAATCTAGTGTGCCATCCACAATTACACCCTTAACAAAATACGTAATAAAATACATTAAATAACACTGAGCGCCCTCTGTAGGACATAGTTCGTATTATCTATTTAGTTATTCGCCTATCGTTATCTCGTCATATTATGATTGCTGGATTTCGTTATTGGGGTGTTGTTTTTTGTGAACCACAGGGGCGCTTGCTTCGTCACCTCCTCGCCCCACCAACCCCCTTCACCCTCCGCGCCTGCGATTGGTCTTATCTTCTGGTACTACTGGCACAATCCGGTGTCTAGACACCTGTGTTCTCCGATATTATCTCACAGGCATAGACCCCTACGCACAGGCAAATTATTGAAATAAATTTCAATCTTATGTTAGTCCCTAATTATAAACCTGTCAATTTGGATTGTTATTGTTACCCATAAAGGTGTGTTAGTGTTGACTGACTAAAGTTGGTTGTTTAACATCTGCTTCCACTAAAGTGATATCGCAGACTTTGGGTGGGTGTTATTTCAATGTTTTCTTTTCACTTTAACTGTCTTACAGTTAGAATTTCGCCCAGATCTATTAAAGGGGGGTAAATGTTGCAGGAACTGTCGACGCTTAAAAGAGTTATCTCCCTTGACCTACCAATAGCAATAAAGTACACGACAGTCGAGAGAGAGAGAGAAATGGGGTTTAACGTCCACTCGACACAAACTAGGTCATTTCGGGACTAACATATGGTTTAATTTTATTTCAATAATTCGCTTGCGCGCAGGGGTCTTTAGCAGTGGGAGGAAACTGGAGGATCCGGAGAAAACCCACGAGGTTGGACAGGACCCTACTCCTTGTCACGTACAACCGGGGATTCGAAACCACGCCAGTCGACTCAATGACAGACTTTATGATACAGCGCCCGCACGCTAACCATTCAGCCATCCAACCCCCCTCACGACAGTCGATATCATTACATATTTTGCCAAATTGAACAAAGTACAAAACACTTTTTATGGAATATAATTACTTACTGAGTTTAATTACTTTTCTGCAGTCATTATATGGTAATTATCATTGTGCTTGGTAACGACCACAAACAAACAAACAAACAAAGGAGTCTTTGTTGGCGTTGATAATCGGTGGTGTAAGCTGTCATTTACCTTATTTAAACATATAAATTCATTTTAATTCGGTGGAGAGAGAGAGAGAGAGAGAGGGAGAGAGGGCGGGGGGGGGGAGATGGGGTTGAACGCCCACTCGACACAAACTAGGTCATTTCGTGACTAACATATGGTTCAATTTTATTTCAATAATTCGCCTGGAGGATCCAGAGAAAACCCACGAGGTTGGACAGACGACCAAACTACTTGTCACGTACAACAGAGAGAGAGAAATGGGGTTTAACGTCCACTCGACACAAACTAGGTCATTTCGGGACTAACATATCGTTTTAATTTTATTTCAATAATTCGCTTGCGCGTAGGGGTCTTTAGCAGTGGGAGGAAACCGGAGGACCCGGAGAAAACCCACGAGGTTGACAGACTTTATGATACAGCGCGCGCACGCTAACCATTCAGCCATCCAACCCCCCTGTCACGTACAACAGGGGAATCGAACGTGAATACGGGGGATCCATTAAAGATTTCCTGGACAGTTGGTAATCGACGTGGTGCCGCCGCTAAATGGGCAAAATTTCCCTCAGACTGCATGGCGTGCCCCCGTCTTCATCATCCCCGTTGGTAGGCCTACATAAAACTAGGACTTTAAAGCCTATTTGATTTTGTTTCGCATGAAGCTTGAACTCTTGGGGGTATATAATCATATATAGATTAGGCAAACGATGTAGAATTTAAATGATCAGGTCCCGTATTACTCATCCTTTCTCTCGACATCTGGCGCCGTTACACGTGATTTCAGGATGCATGTCTCGGGAATATGGCACGCGCGCACGTGCTGGTAATTAAACGGGCGTGTTTTATCCACCGTTGCCCTTCTTTTTAATCTTTGATGGTTTTCACAGAGTCACGTGGTACGAGTTAAGCGTGATTTAGCCAAACCCAAGAAATTCGTTATTATTACATATGGCTCCGTTTTTGGGACGGGGAGAGGAAGGGCTTTGTCCACCCATAGTTAAATGTGTCTGTATATTGTTGTCACTTCCGTCCGCCCAACCCCTGATAATAGTGGATAAATAAGGAATGGGATAGATGGATAAATAGGGTTTAACGGTGACTCGACACAAGCTAGGTCAT